AGAGCAAAACCAAGCAACAATATACAACGAAACAACAAAACAATGACAACAGAACAAAACACAACAAGAAAGAAAAGCTTGTAGTTAGTTCAAGGACTGTTTGTTGGCCTTTAGGAGTGTTTTCCAGTCCAGTCTGTTGAGGCACCAGGTAGCCCTGGCCCCAAAGTCTACCTTCAGCCTTCCCTGGGGACCTTGCTGCTCCATTCCCTTTGCTGTTCTGTTGCACCCCCTTAGTGTTTTGCCTCGGTGTGGCGGGATCAGATTAGCTGCAATTCCCACACTGTGTCTCCTGTGGTGTCCCCTGTAGGGCTATGGATCAATGAGGGACATCATGTCTCATAGTGGGGCCGGCCATGTGGTCCTCTCTGTGGACTGGCGCTCTAATTGGGCACATCGTCCCCCCGGCCTGGTGGGCATGGATTTATTTTTTATGATAGCCTTCCTAGTAGATATGACGTGGCATCTCCCAGTAGTATAATGGCTACGAGCTCAGCTGCTAACTGGGAGACTGGTACTCCAAACCCACCCTTGACTTTGGATGAGAAAAGAGCTGGCCGTCCACTCTTGTATCTAGAACCCGGTGGAACAGGAACCGACAGGGTCACATAGTAATGCTGTTGTAAACATTGTGTGCAAGTCTTGGGAGAGAATTATTTTTTATTTCTTTTGGATGGATCCCTAGGAGGTAATTGCTGGTATTGTATGATATCTGTAGCTGAACTGTTTCCTTAGGTGGCTGTTCTGTGTTACATTACAAAGTCTTAATTTGAGTGTGTTGGTATCTTATTGTTCTGTTTGCATTTCCTCAGTAGCTGAAGATGTTGACTATCATATAATGTGGTCATTTGCCATTCTTTGGTGAAGACTCCATACAAATTTTTACCCATTTCTTGCCCATTGGTTGTCTTCCATTTTAAGAATTTGTTTTATATATTGCAACTTCATTCCTTTGCTAGATGTATTTGCAAAACATTTGCCCTAACTGGTGGCTTGTTTTTTCACTCTCTTAAAAGTCTTTCGAAGAAGAGAGGCTTTTACTTTTGATCAAGTTCTGTACATTGCTCGCTCACTTTGTTTTGTTTTTTCCTCTAAGAAATCTTGTTCTACCTGCAGGTGTAGGTTTTATCTCCCTCTCGTCATTAAAGTTTTAATATAATGTTTGCCCTTTCTCTTTCTTCCTGAACCAGGATTTTGACTTAATTTGATCTACCTTTGACTTACCATTTAACTTTTATTATAATTTGTTTTGTCTTTAGCTGTTGTTTAAAGCTCTAACTTCTGTTTCTGGTTAAAGTTCTTACCTTTTTCTTAATGTAATCATTGTGGTACATTAAGTAGGTTGGTGGGAGCATTTACTTAATAGGTAAACTAAGATTTAGTTGAAACAATAGTAAAAAGCACCTGGAGTGTGTGGTCCCAGCGGTCGATGTCCGAACAGCCGTGTGTTGGAAGAAAAGTGAAATGTTTGGGTCACATCTTTGTTTTTCAGGTTGCTGGAGGAGCCAATTTGAGTCAGATTGCAGAAGCACTGAGCAGATATCGGAACAGGGCGTGTTTCATGAAGGAAGCCCTGTACAGACTCTTCACAGAGACCTTTTCAATGCAGATAACCATGCCTGCTATTTTAAAGGTAACTGCACCGCACTACCATTGACTTGGGTCAGTTAAAAGTTATTTACCAAACACATTGTATGCAATCACTTACAAGCCATCGTCTATAGTGAGGCCAAGTCTCCGCTTGGAGAAAGAAAACGAGCATTGGGCTTGACTGCCAAGTCTATAAACATGTGAATCTACCCTGACCTACTGTATATACTCTTCTATAAGCCGAGTTTTTCAGCACATTTTCTTAAGCCGTTTTTGTGGTGAAATTAGGTGCCTCGGCCATTATTCGGGTCGGCTTATACTCGAGTGTATATGGTAAATTGAATCAGGAAGTTTAGAAGCTTTGGCTTGAGGAAGGAGCTCTGAGACCTTTGCAGTAGTAGTGTTGCTGACCCCGTGTGGCAGAGGAGAAATGCGCCCACAGGTTACGTAGGCTGTAATCTTCAGGGTGGCAGATCGCAGATCCCAGCTCCCCTGGGATTGCTGGCTGAGTTAGCGCCACCAGCTTTAGGGTTGGTCATAGGACGCACTTCACCATGGTGTCACCAAGACTCCTTTTCCTTAAAAGAAGACTTCATACTTTATTAGCCCGAATTTGCACTGTCCCCACCGTTATTTATTTATTCGTTTCATCACTCTTAAAGCCCAACATTTGAAAACATTTAAAAGGAAGCAGCAACACTGGCCCCCATAGAAATAGAACCAGACCCCCAAAACTGAGGAGCCCTAATCTATCTTAGAAAGTACTTTGTGAATAAAATACAATGTACAAATGTTGATACAGCCAAATTTTTGCTTAAGGGGGCATACGTGTTTTTTTTCCTAATTTAAAATCTGTGCTATTATATGACATGTAATTAGAACCATGTTCACATTCATAGGATTCTGAATTTCACTTTTATTTTTCTAAGCAAGTTTAATTTTGAATGTGCACCACTTTATTTGGCATTTATTAAAGCCTTATAAAAGTCATGCACAATGTATTTAAAATTTTGTACAATAAATTAACATGAAAAGACGGAACATTATTCAGGGGTGTTAAAATTTTAGGCATTAGAATTTTACAAAGCTGATTTTGGTTTATAAGTGTAAGGATGAGTTTGTTTTCATTGTAATTGGAAATATTAAGTATTTGGGGAAATTAATTTTTGAGATTTTTGTAAGTCTTTAAAATACTATTTCTGTAGCACAAAAGATGATTATTTATTTGAAAGCAAAGCTTCCTATTTATGGGTTCTGTATTTGAGGGTTCTGAATCAGCAGATTCAAGTAACCTCAAAGAGGAAATACTGGAGGGGACTTAGGGGGGGGGCGGGAATTACATGGTCAGAGTAAGGGTATGAAGTGCTATTTCCACTATATTAGATATTGTAAGTAATTTAGAGATCTGGAGTGTACCTACTAAGGCCATTTCATGTAAATGGCTTGAGCATTTGTGGATTTGGGCATGGGAGCTGGGTTTGGGTAAGAGCCAGCTACTCCTGCTGCCCCAGGTATTGAGACACGGCCGTGCAGTCCGAAGAACTCTGGGCACTTGTTTCTCATAGGTAATAACGTGTCCATCTAAGACCGTGGAAACGATAGTTCTTTTTGGTTTTGCACCCCTAAATTGCAGATGATGGCAATCCAGTAAGACCCCACAGGCAATTTCCCACAGTGATACAGGGGGAAATTGCCTTCCAGAGCAGAATTATATTCTAGGGCTGTCCCTAGGCTCCATGAGAAATTCAGCCACCAACCTGAGGGCTCTGGTCTCTTCAACTCTAGGTTCATACAGGTATCAGTAGACTTCTTTCTGAGATGGGTGGTGGCTGCTGCCACCCTGCGCCCTCTCACAGCTGTTCCCAGGTTGGACCCACTGTTTAGTCCACTTCCTCGCAGGCCTTCCTCTCTTTCACGCTCCCTTTGCTTTACCAAGCCCAGTGCCCTCTCCAGAGACCGGTCTCTCCTGACAGCATGTCCAAAGTAAGGAAGACAGCGTCTCCCCTTCCTTGCCTCTAAGGAGTACTCTGGCCATCCTTCTTTTGATCTTGACTGCTGCAGGAGGACTTACATTCGTTGTAATCTATACTGAAGACTACAATCCTTGATCTTCATCAGCAAGTGCCTGAAGTATTCCTTACTTTCAGCAAGCCAGGTTATGTCATGTGCATATCACAGGCATGTGTTCCCCAATCCTGATGCTACCTTCTTCATATAATCCAGCTTCTTCGATGATTTGCTGAACACACAGACTGAATCTGTATGGTGAGAGGGCCCAGCCCTGTCACACCCTCTCCTGATGGTAAACTAGGATGTATTCACTGGCTCTAGTCGTACCTCTTGATCCATGTTCCAGCTCCACCGTGGCACAGGGAAGTACTGTAGAGTTACTATTCTTCCCAAGATCATCTGTAGTTGGTTATGATTCAGTTACATGCCTGGGCACTCTCAGTAAAATAGACGTAAACATCTTTCTGTTATTCTCTGCTTTTAGCCCAGATCCATCTGACAGCAGCAGTGATATCTCTGATTCCACATTCTCTTCTGAACCTCTGGCAGCTCCCTGTTAGTGTACTGCTGCAACACTTGATGGATGATCTTCAGCAAAATTTTACTTGCATATGATATGAATGATATTGCCCTATAATTTGAGCATTCTTTGGGGCCACTCTTCTTTGGAATGGATACAAATATGGATCTCTTAAGTCTTCCAGATTTCCTGACATAGACAAGTAAATGTTTCCAGTGCTTCATCAGCTTGTTGGAACAATTCACTTGGTATTCCATCAATTCCTGGAGCTTTGTTTTTGGCTAATGCTTTCAGTGTGGCTTGAATTTCTTCCTTCAACACCCTGACTCTTACTAATATGCTACATCTTGAAATAGTGTAATGTTGACTAGTTTTCTTTAGTACACTGACTGTAGTCTTTCCATCTTCTTTTGATGCTTCCTGCATCTTCCACTGTTTTGCCCATAGAATCTTTCAGTATTGCAGCTCAAGTCTTGAATATTTTCTTGAATTCTTTCCAATTTCAGATATGCCGAGTGTGTTTTTCCCTTTTGGTTTCCTAATTCTAGGTCTTTGTACATTTCATTGTAACATTTTACTTTGTCTTCTGAGCTGCCCTTTGCAATGTTCTATTCAAGTTTTTGACATTTCTTCCATTTGCTTTAGCTGCTCTACAAGTAAGAGTAAGTTTCGGAGTCTCTTGGCGTCCTCTCTGTGTAGGGGAAACCAGCCCCTCACACTGTCGTCAGTCCAGTGAACGCAATTGAACAGTTAAAATATGTAAAGATTATAGTACAGTCATAAAGAATAAGAGGAAAGAAAGTAAAATGAGTCAGACACATTTCATGGTAGCATGCTCCCCTCAGCCCTTCTTGGTGGTCCACATGGGGATGTGGGAGGAGAGATGGGCAGGAGAGAAGAATTTATTTCTAACCAAGGCTTATATATCATTGGGGCCGTGATTACAGGTAAACACACACACACACACACACATACACACACACAGAGGAAGGGGCTGTACAATAGGTATACGATTGACAGGAAGGGGATGAGCTAGGGGTGTACATGCAGTAGGAAGGGGAGGGATTAGGGGTATAGATGTGACAAGATGGGTGGACCCTAGACTCAATATGGCAGCCTAACCTTGGTCACCCGTGAGTGGGCTTGACCTCCCTGGGCTCTCCTTATGGGAAGTAATCTATTATCCTTATCAGCACGTAGTAGGCCTTACTTAGGGTGGGACAGACTATATAGTCTGATTGCTCTAGATGGCTGATAACCATTAGGGAGAATAACCTCTGACTTACTTTCATTGACCTCCAAGCGTACGTTTGGCATATATTTAGGGGAGACAACTTGGGAGAAATCCTACAACTCTGCTCTTTTCTTCCTTTGCTGTCTTTTTTTTTTTTTCATTTATGGTTTTATTTAGCACAAAGTTTTCAGATGGGCCATCTACTCATTTTCTTCGCTGCGCAGCCTGGCATTGGGATTTGTGACTCTGATGGCCAGCTGGGCTGCTCTTTCTACAGTGGCTTTGCGATTCTTGGAGGAAACGTCGTGAGCAATCTCTGCACAGTAAGACTTGGTACACATCAGCAGCACTTCCAGCTCCTTGACGTTGTGGACCAGGAACTTGCCGAAGCCACTGGGCAGCATGTGCTTGGTTTTGTTGTTGCTCCTGTAACCAATGTTGGGCATCAAGAGCTGGCCTTTGAATCTTCTGCACACCCTGTTGTCAGTGCCTCTGGGCTTGCGCCAGTTGCGCTTCATCTGGACAGCGATGGGATTGGTGCCGGATGAGCTTCTTGGTCCTCTTTTTACAACTTTAGGCTTCACCAAGGGTCTGAGGGAGACCATGATGCCGGTGGGAGATGGCTGCCTCCTCTGTAGGCAGCCCCGAAGAAGAGAGTCTTTGCTGTCTCTTGAATGACCTTTTTGCTTTCTTTGTGAATGCTGTTCTCGGTGCCCTCGCACAGCACATGAGTGTTCAGTGCATCAGATCTGGTCTGGAGCTGCTTTCAGAATTCAGGAGGGACAGACTCCAGGTGGTTTTTTGGCACCCATGGACTTGTTTTCATTTCCTTCAGTTCTAATGAACAATTCTGTTCCACTTGGTGCCCTAACCTAGTTCTGTCTACTTATAGCTTGTTGCTTCTCCATCGTCTCTTCCCACCGATGGAGACAATTTGTGTTTTGTGTGTTCTCTCTGGAGATAGTCACCCTCCCTTTGTGTTGTTGAAAAAGTATTTGCTATGAACAAGTCATTGGTCTTGAAAACTTCTATCCTACATCTCCAGCTTTGTTTCTATCAAGACTGTATTTTCCGGTTACTGTTCCTTCCTCTTTGTTTCTGACTTTTGCTTTCAAATTGTTAATAATTATCAGTGCATCTTGATCACATGTTTGATCAATTTCAGACTGAAGACCTTGGTAGGATTCTTGTTTCTTCATCACTAGCTTTTCTGGTTGGAACAGAAATTGAATATTAATTGTATCGATTGGATTTCCTTCAAGGCAGAGATGTAAAATGTATCACAAACAGCATGTGATTCAAGATCGACTTTGCAGTACCCTTTTGGACAGTGAGCGCAATGACATTCCTCTGGACTGCATCATTCCTGGCATAGTAATGCTATATGGCTTTCTAATTCAAAATGACCAACGCCAGTCCATCGTAGCTCATCAATGCCTAGTATATCATTTTTTATGTTCTATTTCATTTTTGATGACGTCCAATTTACCTAAATTCATACTTTGCACATTCCAAGTTCTAATGGTTAGCCGATTTTTGCAGCTTTTCTCCTGACCTTGAGTCATGCCCCATCAGCAAGTGGAGATCCTGAAGGCTCCACTCCCATAGGCTGTATCTTCTCCTATCACCGAGGTCGACACCATGGGAGAAATCATCTCCTCCTCGGTCATATTTGGTGTGATACCCTTCGACCTGAGGAACCCACCCTTTGGCACCCTCTCCGACAGCGTTCTCCTTCTGTTCACTGGGCCTTCAGTATCTGACAATGTTTCAAGCTATGCATTAGGGTTTTAGTGGCTTCTCCCTTCTGAAGTGGGGAGGCGAGTCTTGTCTGTTTTTAGTCTGGAAGCTCTGCTGAAACGCGTTCACTTTGGGTGACCTGCAGGCATTTGAAATAATAGTGACATAGCTCCCAGCATCACAGCAACACACAAGTACTGGTCTGAGACGGGTAGGAGTGATTATCTTTGTGGGCCACAGTGTCCTTGAATGTGACTCTGGGAGGGGACTGTGAGTTATGTGTGGTCTTGATGTTCCTTTGTCTTCTCCTTGTGCTCTCAGCCTTCCATAGTCTGACTTTAAATTATATCACTAATGCTATGTCTTAACACTTGCGCCACTGCCACCAAGTGGATTGTGACTCTTAGCAACCCTCAGGGCAGAGCGACTCGTCCTTGCCCCACGCCCCCCAGGTGGTTAGCAGCCTGATGTTGGACCCACACTTCAACAGGGCTCCTTTTAACCAGCTTTAAAAACCCAAACACCTGCTCTGCACCAATTAACACAAAGTGAGACGGTCACTGAAAACACGTTCGTTCATCTTCAGCTTGTGACGGTGGGAATGCGGAATCACCCGTTGGATTTGCCGGTGCAGTTCACAGCCAGCGCCTGTGCCCTCAACCTGACGCGCCAGGGGTTGGCCCGGGGGATGCCTGTCCGGCTGTTGTCGGACCTCACTGATCTGCTCTTCAAGGCCCTGAGAAATTTTCCTCATTACCAGCAGGTAACGTGAATTGAATACTCGACTTCACTTGTTCTCTTCCTGACAAATACGTGAGTGTCTTGCATAGTTCTGGATTGTTATCCACCTTGGGAGAGAAGCGTTAGACAAGAAGTTCATGTTTCCCATGGGGAAAGTAGGATGGGCACTGAGGTCAAAGACGTTTAGGTGACTCACAAACCTGGCAGGACCTGTTAGTGACGTTTTAGTATACCCTTAAAGACTAAATATTGGTTCATTTTTATGACTTGACATTTTTGTAAAGTTGTACTTCCTTATGTAAGTTTATCGAGCCCACTTAGCGTGGTTTTTCCTTGCTATCAGGCTATTTTAAAAATATTTTTCTGCCGATACTAGTAAACGCCTGAGACAGAATAGAGCCCAGAATACCCACATGGACATAGCAAAGGAAACCAAACCCCTTACCCTCGAGTCAGGTCCTTAGAGAGGACCGCCCCACAAGGGTGCAAAAGCTGCGTACCTGTGTGGAAACCAGCTGCCTCACCTTTCTCTCTGGGAGCAGCTGGCAGCTTCAAACTGCTGGCCTTTTGGTTGGTGGCTAAGTGCTTTAACAACTGCACCACTAGGACTCCTAAACACAACCGTGTTGCTGTTAGGTACCATCAAATCAGTTCCAACTCATAGCGACCCCACTGGGTAGCAGAATGAATCACCGCCTGGTTCTGCTCCATCCTCCCAATTGTTATATTTGAGCCCATTGTCGCGGCCTCTCTGTCCTTCCATCTCCTTGAGGGTCTTCCTTTTACTCCCTGCCCTTCTACTTTTGTCAAGCCTGGTGTCTCTTCCAGGGACTGGTCTCTCCTGATAACATGTCCAAAGTACAAGAGACCAAGTCTTGCCAGCTTCACTTCTAAGAAGCATTTTGGCTGTACTTCAAAGAGATTTATTCATTCTTTTGAGAATTTTTTGAAGCCACTTTATGAGACAACCTGGATTCTTCCAGGGTGTGGGGGAAACACTCTCTTCTTTGGATTGTTCTTTAGGCAAAGGTGAATGCCATACAGTTTATTTAATAAAGTAGGATCAAGTGAAGAATTTGGAAAGAGCCAGGTACAGAGTGTGTCCTCAAAAAAAACAAACAAACCTGTTAGCACCTTCAGATGTTAAGAACCATTACCCGTATAATCAGTATTTGTATAAATGTATAATTTGCCAAATTATTTTTCTTTATTCCCTAAAAGTTACAGAAGAATTGTCTACTCTCCTTAACTAATTCCAGGATTCTTGTGGATGTTCCATTCGACAGGCAAGTATAACTCTTTGGTAATCTGATTGGGTTGTGATCAGTATTGCTCTAGCATTATTGGCTCTTGGTCATCTCCTTAACATGGACCTGTTTAGTACTGGGGTAGGGTGTTGGGGACAGGAGTCTTCTGAACTTTTTTTTTCCTTCTGAGCTTTTTTATCAGACTCGTCTGGAATATGCTATTTCTAAACGTCTCCAGTTAGCATGACTCTAGTATAGGCTATTGGCTGTAATAACTTTGGCCATGACTTCAAGCACACTTGGATTCAAGTGTTAATCCTTCCCATGATCTTTAAGCATAAGTTTCTTCATTAGTAAAGTAGTGATTCTCAAAGAAGATTAGATATGATCATTTAAACACCATCATCTTAGATATTCTAGGGGGATTCATCTTAAGATTTTGGTAATCTTCCAGGTACATGAATTTGAAAACCTCACGGTTGCTGGAAACAGAATCATTAGCACTGGCTGACAGTGCCCCAAGCCTGTAGGCATGAGTCGGAAGCCCTGCCGCCCTTGCTGGGTCATGTGTGTGTTCGCGCACTGACTGCAAACCAAACGACTGCCTCTCGAGGAAGGGCTTCTCGCAGGTCCATCAGGTCGAAAGTAACCGTCTCTCTTCCTCGTGTTTCCCAAGTGCTCCTGATTTTCTTTACTTTCTATGTTTTTAAGTTTGCCTTTGGTTTTCATAGCTAGAGTCGCGGAAGGCCAAATGACTCTTAGCCCATACACAGTTCCGTCTGTACCCTGTCGCTGTGAGCAGAACCCGTGCTGTTTTTCAGATTTGATGCTGCCAGGTTTGTAGTGAAGTGGCTCTGTAATCACGGGAACCCCAAGATGCAAACCATGGCGGTGAGCATCACCTCGATTCTGGCCCTGCAGGTGAGTGCGTCTGCAGGCAGGCTTTCTCCTCCCCCCCGCTGTTGGACCGGCTTTCATTTGGCTTGTGCTCTTTCCTGTAGCTCTCGCCCAAACAGACTGCACAGCTGAAGGACGAACTCTTCGTGGCCATCAAGGTAGGTTGATTGCTACTTCAACAGCCTTTTTGGTTGTTAAGTGAAAGCAATTCATGAACTTAGTTTAAAAAAAATTAGTCCAGAAAACCTCTATGAAAACTATATGTATGTGGTTTTGTGACTCAGTATGTGAAACCAAAGGAAACCGTTGGTAAAACGATTTCTTCTGGCATTTACCTCCATATTTCTAAATGAAATGCTTACGCCAGGGGCCTTCAGGAAAGTTCTGCGATAATGGAATGAAAAGATCGGGTGTTCACATAGGACTTTGGAAACTGCCCACTCTCCTGCCCCCCATCCTGCAATGTCTTGATTGATCAGTGTCAGCTTTATCGGGTGACTTGCTTGCCATGATAAATATGGATTCCACTCTCCTACACAAATTACCCCCTTTACTGATCCCCATAAAATTTATGTCCTAACGTCTAATAAATCTGCACTCATATTTGCACTACAGTGAACCCTCGTTTATCGCGGTTAATCGGTTCTAGACCCTACCATGATAAATGAAATTCTGCGAAGTAGGATTCCTTATTTATAAATCAAATATTTTAGTAGTTAGAGCATAGAGGACATGAAAAAACACCCTTTAGTCACCATTACACTCGTATTACCCAATTTATTAAACGAAAAAGGGAAAATACAGTAAAACATTTTGGACATTACAATTACCATTTATTATTTATTATATTATTTATGGCATCAAGCGTGTACAGTATGAGCCAATCAGTGGTAGTAATGACAGAGCATGCGCTGTTACGCAAAAACCGCAATAGAGTGAAGCCGCGGAAGTCGAAGCGCGAAGTGGCGAGGGTTCACTGTATTATGATTATACTAATTGCTCACTAGAAAATGTACATCAGTGTTTTCCCTTGCACGTTTCTTATTTTGAGATGATGCTTGAGCTGTTTTTTCTTTTGAAATTTTGTTTATGTTTATTTTTTAACTATCCAAAAGGTAACTATTTCGTACTCTGGATCTCCAAATTTTGTGTTTTTCACACCTATCCTGCACCTCAAATTAGTACTCAGTCCCAGTTCAGAAATTCATCTGGCTACATTTACCCTTAGCATGGTGCCGGTGGACACAGAAAGCTTGTTTGTTTTTCTTTTAAGATCATTTTTATTATTATTAATTTTTTTCCTTTTTTTGTGAGTGAGACAGAGTGAGGCAGTGAATGAGTGAGAGTGAGGCAGGGAGTGAGTGAGACAGTGAATGAGGCAGTGAGTGAGAGAGTGAGAGAGTGATAGTCACGCAGTGAGTGAGTGAGTGAGGCAGTGAGAGAGTCAGGAAGTGAGTGAGTGAGAGAATCACTGAGGCACTGAGAGTGTGAGGCAATGAGTGAGTGTGAGTGAGACAGTGAGTGAGTGAGTGAGGCAGGGAGTAAATGAGACAGAGGCAGTGAGAGAGTTAGTGAATGAGACAGAGTGAGAGTGAGGCTGTGAATGAGTGAGTGAGGCAGTGAGTGAGTGACACAGTGAGAGTCAGTGAATGAGGCAGTGAGAGAGTGAGATAGTGAATGAGGCAGTGAGAGTGAGACAGTGAGTAAGTGAGGCAGTGACTGAGTGAGTGAGTGAGACAGAGTGAGTGAGTGAGGCAGTGAGAGTGAGCGTGAGACGGAGTGTGAATGAGACAGTAAGAGACTGAGACAGTGAGTGAGTAAGAGTGAATCACTGACTGAGGCACTGAAAGAGTGAGGCAGTGCGTGAGTGAGTGAGGCGGTGAGGCAGTGAGACAGAGTGAGAGTGTGTGCGGCAGTGAGTGAATGAGGCAGGGAGTGAATGAGACAGTAAGAGAGTGAGGCAGTGAGTGAGAATGAGACAGTGAGATTGAAAGTGAGGCAGTGAGTAAGTGCACTGACTGAGGCACTGAAAGAGTGAGGCAGTGAGTGAGTGAGACAGTGAACGAGAGGCCGTGATTGAGTGAGAGAGAGGCGGTGAGGCAGTGAGACATAAAGTGAGAGTGAGCCACTGAGTGAGGCAGTGAGGGAGTGAGAGTCAGACAGTGAGAGTCAGTGAATGAGAGTGAGGCAGTGAGAGTGAGTCACTGAGTGAGACAGTGAGAGAGTGGGACTGAGAGTCAGCGAACGAGAAAGTGAGTGAATGAGAGAGTGAGTCTTTTATTTTATTATTAATTGAGAGTTAATACATATGTCATTTCGTAGTTTGTCATGTCAAGCAGAATCGTACATCTGCTACCACAGCCGGTTTACAGACATTCTTTTTCTTCCTGGACTCTCATGGATCATCTCCCTTTTCAACCCCACCCCCACTATACCACCCCCCACCCCACCCCCAACACCCTTATGCTATTTGCTGTCCCTGTGGGTTCATGAGTCCTGAGTTTCATATACCAGAAAATCATTGAACACAGCTTCCAGAGGCCGACCTCCGATGACATGACCCCTGAGAGAGAGACACCCTAATTGAACGAACAAAGCAAAGACACAGAAAATGGTAAAAACCAGGTCAGGCTCAACGTGCATCAGAGCGGGATCACTGACAAAATGTTAACTGTTGAAGTCATATTTATGCCTTTGTTCTTTCCTCATCTCTCCAATGCCCTCTGCTTAGTAGCCCCTTCCTCGCCTCCCTCAGTTGTGCATAGAGGGAGTTCACAGGAGGCACTTCCCTAGGGAGTTCCGCAAATGGATCTTGGGCTCCCACTGTCACCCCTAGCCTTTTCCAAACCGGATTCTCACAATTTAGACTCTGATGCTAATCCCTCCTTTGATTTCAGGTTATTGGACTTAAAACCTTCGGTACTGATGATGGTGAGCTTTTTCCATGTGGACTTGGTTGAGCTGTTTTCTTTTTAATCATTTTAGTGGGGGCTCATACAACTCATCACAATCCATACATACATCAATTGTGTAAAGCACATTTGTACATTCGTTGCCTTCATCATTCTCAAAACATTTGCTTTCCACTTAAGCTCCTGGCATCAGGTCCTCATTATTTCCCCCTCCCTCCCCGCTCCGCCCTCCCTCATGAACCCTTGATAATTTATAAATTATTATTTTGTCATATCTTGCACTGTTGACATCTTCCTTCACCCACTTTCCTGTTGTCCATCCACTAGGGAGGAGGTTATATGGAGATCCTTGTAATCGGTTCCCCCTTTCCAACCCACCCTCCTTTCACCCTCCCGGTATCGCCACTCACACCACTGGTCTGGAAGGGATCAACCGCCCTGGATTCCCTGTGTTTCCAGTTCCTATCTGTACCAGTATACATCCTCTGGTCTAGCCAGATTTGTAAGGTAGACTTGGGATCATGATAGTGTGGGGGGAGGGGAGAGGAAGGAAGCATTTAGGAACTAGAGGAAAGTTGTATGTTTCATCTTTGCTACACTGCACCCTGACTGGCTTGTCTCCTCCCCATGACCCTTCCGCAAGGGGATGTCCAGTTGCCCACAGATGGGCCACAGGCCCACACTCCGCACTCCCCTTCATTCACAATGATAAGACTTTTTGTTCTTTGATGCCTGATAACTCATCTCCGACACCTCGTGATCATATAGGCTGGTGTCCTTCTTCCATGTGGGCTTTGTTGCTTCTGAGGTAGATGGCCGCTTGTTTACCTTCAAGCCTTTTAAGACCCAAGACGCTATTATCTTTTGATAGCCGGGCACCATCGGCCTTTATCACCACATTTGTTTATGCACCCATTTGTCTTCAGCGATCATATGGGGAGGTGAGCACACAATATGATTTTTTGTTCTTTGATGCCTGGTTACTGATCCCTTCAGCACCTCATGTTCATACAGTCTGCTGTGCTTCTTCCATGTGGACTTTGTTGCTTCTGAGCTAGATGGCTGCTTGTTTCCCTTCAAGCCTTAAGACCCCAGACGCTATATCTTTTGATCACATTTGCTTATGCACCTGCTTTGTCCTCAGCCATCGTGTCGGGAAGGTGAGCATCATGGAATGCCAGGTTAATAGAACAGAGTGTTCTTGCATTGAGGGACTACATGTGGAGGCCCAATGTCCATCTGCTACCTTAATACTAAACATAAATATATGCGCACAGATCTATTTCCCCATCATTATATATAAATTTATTTACAAATGTACATGCCTGTATTTAGACCTCTATAAATGCCCTTTGCCTCCTAGCTCTTTCCTCTATTTCCTTTGACTTTCCTCTTGTCCCACTATCATGCTCAGCCTTCATTTGGGTTTCAGTAATTCCTCTCAGTTACATTACCCTTGATCACGCCCTACAAGGCCTCCTATATCCTCCTCACCACCGATTTGGATCACTTGTTCCCTTGTCCCTGGGTTTATTAACACCACTAGCTGTTTTCTTTTATCTACTTCTCAGCTCATTTTATTATACGTATCAGTGGCCTTTTATGACTTCTCTTTCGAGTTCACTTTTTCCTAATTTATAGTGTTTTTATGCTGAGGAGACAAACCATTCAGTGTGATAGGAGATGTTTATGGCATTTAAAATTTTTAGGATATTAGATTTATTGACTTATTTGCATACCTGTTTATTTTTAAATATCTCTAGGATTAATATCATACTTTTAAAATATTTCCCTACTCATTGGAGAGTCTTCCTCTTAATTCTCCATGTTTTTAAAAATATCTAACATGCCTACACATTTTCTTATTTGTTTTTTAGGAATTAAGAATTTCAGAATCTGATGAATTCATTCATAATTCAAAAAATCATTTTATTGGGACTCTTAAGAGCACTTATAACATTGCACACATCAATTGTATCAGGCATATTTGTACATATGTTGCCATCCTTTTCTAAACGTTTATTCTGTGTGAGCCCTTGGTATCAGCTGTTCCATTTTCCTTCTCTACCTCCTTCATAATTTCTTCCCACCATCTGCTCGGTTGCTTCTATAGCCTATACTGAGTACTCTGAGTGTTTTCTGCCTTCATGATAGACTACATGCCCCTACATACATGTATTTGCATGATAGTGTCGCCTTTCTCAGGAGCCCTGGTGGCACAGTGGTTAAGCACTGAGCTGCTAGCTGAAAGGCGGGCAGTCTGAACCCACTAAGTAGTGGGTTTCCACAAAGATTTCCGGCATTGGAAACCCTGGGGAAAGTGCCGCTCTGCTCTCCAGGTCCCTGTGAGTAGAATCGGCTCCGTGGGCTGCACTTGCTTCTTACTTACTAGCTTTCGTGCTTACACATGTGGGAGAGAGGTGCTTGTATAGTTAGAGCTCTCCCACAGCTCTTTGGGCAACCTCTTTTCTTTCTGCCTGAATACGAGAACCCACTGTGTCTTCTAAGACAAATTGGTTTTCTTTAGGGTTATGTTAAGTTTGTCGATCGAGTTAGAGGAATTCATACCCCATCGGGTCTTCCTAGATGCAGATGGCAACTTCATGGGTTTCATGCCCCGTAGGAGTGTCCTTTCTTCATGTTGATGCTGCTTCCACTGCTGTTTTCAGTGGGGTTTTGCAACTGTTTGTTATGCAGCCTGGCAGTGTGGGGAAGGAAAATCAAGAGTGATTTGAACATGCTGATTTCTGGGACTTCAAGTAGATTGACAACACTCAGGGCTATAGAAACAATTCTGAGGTTCCCTAGAAAGAGTATGAACTATATTGTGTAGAAATGAAAAAGGTTGGGCCTTTTAGGAGGGCCATCCAGAGGTGTGTTGGAAGAACAGGAGAGACAAAGGGAATGCCTTTCAGACGGGTCTCCAGCAAGCACTGTATTGAAAATGAAGGATTGGATTGGCCATCTCTAAGTCTTGGAGGTGAGAAGACAGGGTTAAGGCTGTCTGTAATGTTTCTTTCTGCTTAATAACTGAGGAGGATGCAAAGAGTTAGAAAGTGGAATGTCAGACCCCAGAGGGATGCGTGTGTCCAGTGCTCCTGAGGGAGAGCAGAGCTGACCACTGGATTTGGCCAGATGGATGGAAGCCTTTGGTTATCTTGATTGTATTATTTTAGTGGTGAAAGGGGGCGTCACCGGGATTGGGAAATGAGAGGCGTTAAAACGTATACAACTGTTTGTTCCTTGCGCAGGGGCCATGCTAATCTTCTCTGTATCGCTCCAATTTTAGTATGTGTGCCGCTGAAGCAAGCACAGCGCATGCAACTGTTTGATAGTTAATGTTTTAGTGAGAAGCAGAGAAATGTGCGCAGTGTGGGGCCTATGGATTTTTTTGTGTTAAAGATGTTTTAGAGTAAGGTATTTGTATGCCTACGAGAATTATTCCTAACAGGTGGCATAGACAGAATTAATTCTGGTGCCATGCTATGTGTGTCTAGAGACTGGATCTAGAGCAGAAGTAAAGAGACTGGCTTTACATGGGAGCAGTTGGGAGGTTAAGGACACTGGTTGGTAGATTTTGTTAGGAAGAGCTGGGTTCCCAGTGAAAAATGAGATGCAGCAGTCAAACGAATAAAGCAGGAAGGTGGTGATTAAAGTTTAAGAAGAGAGAATCTTGGGAGCAAATTCTTGAAGAGCGATCATAGGATTATCAGGTGTCTCAGATTCGTGGACAGAGTGATATTGACCAATGGAGTACAGACTTTTTCATCGTTCCCGTGCTTGGGAGGTGCATGGCACAGACGCTTTGCAAGTTGTGATTAAAAAAATAATAAGACTTTCATGTGTTTCCTCTTACATGTTTCCACTACCAAACACAACTCTTCCCTTTGTCTCTGACCTGACTTCTCACAGAAGTTGCTAGTGAACTATTCTGGGTAAATGAGTGACAGAGTAGCTGCCACGTACTTGGTGATGAGCGTTATTACCGCACATCAAGAGCTGGATGAGTGCTCATTAAATATTTGTTTTGTTGTCAGGTGTTATTGTTGTTGGGTGTCATGGAGCTGGTTCCGACGCATAGCGACCGTATGCACAGCAGAACAGAACACTGCCTGGTCCTGAGCTGCCCTCATAATTGGTCTTATGCTTCCATCCATTCTTGCAGCCAGGTGTCGGTCCATCTTGTCCAGGGCCTTCCTCTTTTCACTGCCCCTCCACTTTGCCAAGCATGACATCCTTCTCCAGGGACCGGTCTCCTGACAACGTCGCCGAAGTATTAAGACGGAATGTCGCATCTTTATCTTCAGGGAGTGTTTTAGTCTAGGTACTTTGGAGAAACAAATCCACGGCGACTCACGTATAAGAGAGAGTTTTATGTAAAGAAAGTGTGCATCAAGAAAACATCCCAACCCAATGCTGCCCAAGCCCACAAGTCCAACATTAACCCATTAACCCAACACCAGTCCACAAAGTCCTCCACCTCACAAAACAGAGGCAATGATACCGACTGCAGGAGGAAAGCTGAATCAATGAAGGAACAAGCATCTCAGCACTAGCAGGGGTCTCCACACGGCTGCTCCAGCACCCAGGGCTGCATCGGGATAGGTCCATGTGGCTTCTCCTTGGGGATGTCTTGTAGGACGTCAATCTTGCAAGCTGAAGCAGGGAGCTGCTAAGGCAGCTGCATCCTGGTGTGACCATCACAAAACAAGAGACCCGAGAACTAGAAAGGCGAGGCTTCACCACCCATTTATCCCTCCGCCTTTCAACCAGCACCACATGTGATTATTGGCCAGGCTGGCACAATTAACTAACTCAGGGAGTATTCTGGCTGTTTTTCTGTAAGACAGACTTGCTTGTCCTTTTGGCAATCCATGCTACTTTCGTATCCTTTTCCAGCCCCACCATGCACATGCAGCGTCTTCCTCAGTCTCTGTCTTCACACGCATGTGAGGCGTCAGGTACCCCATAGTCCTCAGAGTAACAGCCATGCTTTCCAAGACTGTTCTTATTAAAAAATCACTTTATTGGGGGCTCGTATACCTCTTATCACAATCCATTCATATATCCATTGTGTCAAGCACATTTGTGCATTTGTTGCCATCATCATTCTCAAAACATTGTGTTCTACTTAAGCCCCTGGTATCAGCTCCTCAATTTTTCTCCCTCCTTCTCTCCCTCACGAGTCCTTGATCATTTATAAATTATTACTAATTTTTCATGTCTTACTTTCCGATGTCTCCCTTTACCCACTTTCCTGTTGTCCGTCCCCCAGGGGAGGGGGTTATATGTAAATCATTGTGATCGGTTTCCCCTTTCCCTCCTGGTTTGGCTACCTGAGGGGTTTATCTGTCCTGGATTCCCTGTGTATCCAGTTCCTATCTGTACCAGTGTGCATGCTCTGGTCTAGCCATATTTGTAAGCTAGAATTGGGATCATGATAGTGGGGGCGGAGGAAGCATTAAAGAACTAGAGGAAAGTTGTATGTTTCATCATTGCTACACTGCACCCTGACTGGCTCGTCTCCTCCCCACGACCCTTCTTTAAGGGGATGTCCAGTTGCCTACAGATGCCTTTCAACACTTTCAAGAGGTCTTGTGCAGCAGCTTTACCCAATGCACAGTATGTTTTTCACTCACGACTGCTGCTTCCGTGAGCATTGATTGTGGAGCCAAGCAAGATGAACTCCTTGACAGCTTCACTCTTCATCTATCGAGATGTGCAGGTCCAGTTGTGAGGATTCTGGTCTTCTTTACTTTGGGTTGTAATTCATACTGAAGGCTCTAAGAGTATGTAATTTTGATAAAAACCGTAAGAGGTAAGTTGTAAGATTCATTTTTCAAAAGAAAATGTCTCACACAATTAGGGAGTGTGGAGCTTAGGCTTAGGACCTAGTGCTGACTTAAAGCTCTCGGAAGCTGTTGGTTATTGTGTATTGCTGTGAAGTGTCAGTTACCACAGCACCTAACTCTCTTTTGCTGTGCTTTTTAGGAACTTCTAGCAATAGTGAAACAGAAGATAACTGAGAATTTAGATGATGCCACCCTCTTGTTTACTTTGAAAGCACTTTGGAACCTCACGGATGACTGTCCAGCCATCTGCAAGCACTTTATTAAAAATGAAGGCTTGGCCATCTTCATTCAAGTTTTGGAGGTGAAAAGACAGGATGACGTGTTTATGTAAACTGTGTTTCTTTGTGAGAAACTAACTCACTTGTGTATTCTTTTGGCAGACATTTTCAGAGTCGGCAATACAAAGCAAAGTTCTTGGCCTTTTGGTAAGGTGAATTGTTTTGAGTTTTAATAACTTAAAATTAAAAAGAAAATGGCGTATATTTTGGTAGTACCGACTGAGTGTGTTGTAAGCAGTTGATTGCCATGCATTAGCTTGTTGACTCTTCGTAATATTCCTATAAAGCAAATACCTTTATATTTCATTCATCGATTGCTGTGAACAAACTACAACTAATGGCTTAAAACAACATCTTTTTGACGTTTACTCATGGTACTGTGGGTCAGCTGCTTAGTCTACACTCCCTCGTACAGTTCGTCTTCAGCTGGTCTCACCTGTAGTTAATTACTCACGTAGCTTTGGTCATCTGGCTGGATGGCCCAAGATGTTGCACCTCGTACTTAGTTGTTGACCGAGATTTTTGTGGTGATTTCACGGCAGCAATAGAGTGCAAGCCCACTGCACACGTGCTGCTTTAACCTCTCCTTAGGCCACATATGCCGAAATCACATTGGCCAAAGCAAGTGGCTTGCTTCTACTGGGGTGAAGGATCTGGAGAAACAGTCCACTCCTTGATGGTAAAGACATCAAAAGTCACACTGCTAAGGGACGTGGCACGTTGGGTTCTCTGATACAGAATCTGAGGAAGGGACTTGGCCAGGAACCTGAGTCACCCCGGTAGTATGCCAAAATTTGAATTCAAACCAAGGCAATCTGGCTCTAGAGCTTCTGACATTAACCACTTCGCCATACTTCTTTAGTACCCTTCTGTGCTGCCTATCCAGGTCGGGAATCATAACTGAGGAATATGTTTCCCAAAGATAGCAGGTATATTTTATTACTACACACACACACACACACACACACACACACACACACACACAGAATTGCTGCCAGTTGTGAGGCTGGGTGGGGACAAGAATGCATAGAATGTACTGCATTTCTGAGCTGCTCTCCTTGGGGAGGTGGCATTAGGCATGTGCATAAGGAGCTCTCTAATGTAAGAGAGCCATTGGTCAATGCGAGGAAAGAGCCCCAGAGTCCGGTGGGAGCCTTGATTCGAGATCATGAACTCCTTGGAACGGAAGCAGGGTCTGTCTTAGCGTCTTCGTAGCATATGCAGGAGATATGAATGACGTCACCAGAGAAAATGAAGGGTTAACAGAGGTAAAGGACAAAGGTCATTTTTCTCACCAAGGATGACACAGTTTAATCATTGGAGGGGCAAATACAGAATGTTTGAGAGCTAGTAACACAGAAGCGGGTGCTAATGGGGCTGTGGAGGAAACACTGGGCTGCTAACCACACAGCTTCAGGCCATCAACTGCTCCAGAGAGAAAGGTTCCCAGAAGACTCCGCTCGGAGTTGAAATTGACTAGATGGCAGTGGGTTGTACGACAGGAAAGTAGACCGATGGAGGCCTCCTCTCTGTGTGCTATACAGATACTCCTAGCTGACCTCAGGGCCCCTCACGTTTTAAGACTCGCGAGAGTCACAGAATGTTAGGGTTCCTTTTTATCCTGTTTACCCCGTCTTTTTTTTTTTTAATATATAATTTTTAAAAATTATTTTATTGGGGGCTCGTACAATGCTCATCACAATCCATACATACATCCACATCTTCCTGTAGCTCCAATCTCAGCATTTTACTCCTTGACTCGTGGAAAGATACAACTCACATCAAAGTGGTTTCTGCAGAGCCGACAGGAGAAACGTTAGGGGTGTTCGCGTTTGTCTCCTGGCAGCTTTAAAGCCGAGAGCACACTGCTGGCTCGGGGTAGTGCTGGTCTGGGGAGAACCACGAGGGGTGGATCTCAAACAGCAGTTTCAGCTGACTCTTCTGTGTCCTCCACACCCCTTTCAGCATACTAACTGGCTGTTCGTTCCTAAAGAAGGAGCACCGACTGGCCTTGCACTTGAAGAAATACGGAATGAAATCCTAGTTTGTCTCTTAACTGGGACTCTCTCTAGCCTCCTCAACCAACCCAAAGCCAAACCCACTGCCATCGAACCAATTCTGACTCCTAGTCACTCTCCATGGCAGAGTGTAACTGCTCCTAAGACTAAATCTGTGTGAGGGCGGATAGCCTCGTCTTTCTGGCACGGAGCAGCGGGTGGGTGTGAGCTACCAACCTCGCAGTCAGCAGCCCAGTGCAGTCCATTGTGCCACCTGGATTCCGGGAACCTCACTTAATCTCTGTGGGGTAGCTTTTGTTTGGCGTACCTGTCCTGCTTGTCAGCATGCTAGAGAGAGACACACACACATACACCTTTGCTTTCAACCGATGGAATGGGGCAAAGGTGCTGGCATACCTGTCCTGCTAGTGGGCATGCTAGAGAGACTGCCTCCCTAGCTTTGAAGAAGCAAGCTGCCAGTAAAGCCAGAGGCTGGGGAAGCCTACTTGGCAAAGAACTGAGCTGTCTGTGGGAGCTATGGGTGACCTCCAATGAAAACACTAACGCCCTGCGTCCTACAGCCTCACAGAAGTGGGGACCACCCAATAGGGTGAGTAAGCTTGGAAGCTTATCCTCCCCCCGTCAAGGCTGCTGAATAAATGCAGCCTGGCTGACCCTTTGTTTCTTTAGGAGTTCTCGGAGCAGAGGACTTTGCCCAGCCAACGTGCAATAATAAATATGTTGTTTTAAGCCATTAAGTTTGTGGTAATTTATTACACAACATAGAATACTGATACAATCTGTATAATAAAATACTGCCTGCCTTTCCATTTTTTGCTAAGATTTCAATAAAATGTAGCATATAGTAGGCCCCAGTAGTAACACTAAGCATTTGGGTTGTAATGCTACCTGTTATTAGCAGGGTGGGGCGTAGCAAGTAGGTCCACCTGAGTGTCACAGAAGTTTCTTAAGGATTAAGTGAGGAAAGGTATATATAAAGCCCCTTTTGCCTTATCTAGTACTTCTTAGTAAGTGCTTATCCAATCATTTGTTACTAGTGGTGGTGACCATTATCCAAGGCGGGATTGTAGGTATGAGACTGAATTGGGATGGAGGAGGATGGGATTCAGTATTCCAAATCTGTCTGAGGGGAGCGGTGAGATGGGGAGAAGAGCCTGCTCCCAATTCTTTTCTCCTCTCCCGGACCTGGCATTCTCGGTTCCATCCTACCTGTAGAACAATGTTGCTGAAGTCAAAGAGCTCTCTTCTGAGATGGTGACGACAGATGTGGTGAAGCACCTCAGCAGCTTGCTCCACAGCAAGGAAATGGAGATCAGCTTCTTGGCGGCAGGCCTTATCGCCCACCTGACCTCTGTGCAGGAGCCGTGGGCGTCGGACGACCTTCAGAGGCACGCTCTTCTTCGGGATCTGGTACGGGAACGGACTCATTTATGAAACCTTCAGCGCAGCCTCTGCTAACCGAGAACTAGCGTTTCTTCTTTCTTTCTCTTAGTAAATACTTTTATTGGGGCTCGCACATCTCTTGTCATGATCCATACATCCATCAGTGTGTCAAGCACATTTGCACGTATGCCGCCATTATCATTTTCTTTTTTTCTTTTTTTAAAATTTATTTTAATTTTTATTTTTTAAACATTTTATTAGGGGCTCATACAACTGTTATCCCAATCCATACACACATCAATTGTGTAAAGCGCATTTGTACATCATTTCTCAAAACACTTTCTCTCCATTTAAACCCCCGACATTAGGTCCTCATTTTTCCCCTCCCTCCCCGCTCCCCCCTCCCACATGAGCCCTTGATAGTTTATAAATGGGTATTTTGTCATATCTTGCCCTGTCCGACTTCTCCCTTCATCCACTTTTCGGCTGTCTGTCCCCCAGGGAGGAGGTCACACACAGTTCCATGTAATCGGTTCCCTCTTTCCTACCCATTCTCCCTTTACCCTCCCTGTTTTGCCACTCACACCACTGGTCCTATAGGGCTCATCCATCCTGGATTCCCTGTATTTTCAGTTCCCATCTGTACCAGTGTACCTCCTCTGGTCTAGCCAGTCTTGCAAGATAGAATTTGAGTCATGGTAGTGGGAGCGGGGAGGAAACCTTTAGGAACTAGAGGAAGGTTGTATTTCTCATCATTGTTACATCGCACCCTGACTGGCTCATCTCCTCCCCGAGGCCATTATCATTTTCAAAGCATTCTCTTGAGCACCGAACTAGATTTTCTAGATCATAGAGTTTTAATAATAGGTGTTTGTTTTAGAAGATTAGAAAAATATAAATTAAAAAAAAAAACAAAAAACCACACGTCACTCATAACCCTACAACCTAAAGTTAACTAAGTTAACTTTTCGTCATCGTTCTCCTCCCCCCCCCCCCCTCCGTCATTTTAAAGAAGTCAGTTTTGTGTGATCTATTTCTACCCTTTTTTTCCCTCCCCACTTTGAACTCTTTAAAAAGCCCTTTCTTTTGGCATCTCCTAAATAATGTTTTGTACTGCTACTTCTTGACTTTGCATTCCTAGACGTTATCTTTTGGTTACGTTTCCTACTCTAGAAAATAATATTTCTTTTTCTTGTGTCACGTACCCACACTCTTCCATATTTTCCACTATAAATCTCCACTCATACATTCAAATATCTTCAATTCTTTCCCAGAGACTTCTCTCCCAGAACCTCATTTCTTCCATCTGGTTAGCATGTTATGTATGTCTGCTATAAAACTGTTATCCTAGGATATAGTCTTACACTCTCATCTTAGGACTTCCTTTTGCTTCTCTCGTTTTTTGCAATACATGGATTAAATTGTGAGTTAGGTGTATGTGTGTGAGAGAGGTGGGGGTGGCGGAATGCCAGCCCCTCGGCTCTGGGCTTCATGTTGGCTCTCTGTTCCTGGGTCGCAGGCCGCCCTGTCCCTGGTTTACTCTTCCTTCCTCCTGTCGCAGCGCATCCCCTAGCACTGGAGTCTCCTGGCTTCCTTCACATTTAATTGATGTAATGGCAAGACAACGAATTTTAGGTTTGGAATATTTTCCTTCAGAATTTTCAAAGTTTAAGATTTTTATCCTCGGAGTTTGAAAATCACAATGGTGTACTTTATTTTCATTTATTATATTGGATTCTTATCACTCTGGAAGGTCCATTTACTTTGTCTTGGAACTTTTGTTGCGTTTCATTTTTTGCTCCTCCATATGTCTGTGTGCGTGTTCTGCCCCTCCCTCTGTGGCGCATACCATGTCTCACTTGTTGCCCTATTTGTCTGTTGAACTTCAGCTTCCAACCTTTTCTGTCAGATTTTGCATTTCTGCTAATACATTTTTAATTTCCAGGATCAACTTATTTGTTTCCTTATCTCTTAAAGGATATTAATGAAATGCATATATTTTAAGGGTTTTTTGGTTTGGGGTCTCGTTTCCTCCCACTTTTTTTCCGTTTGTTTTTGTCTATTCATTTTATGGGGTCCGGGCACCCTTCAATATCCACTTGTATGTATGTGCACGTGTGGAGCTTGTTCATTTTGGGTTTCACGCTACAGTGTCTGTTAGCTTTTCCTCCGTGAATGTCAGTGGCATTTCCCTGGAGAAGAAACTCCTGTTCTCCTGCATGTATATGATAAGCGTGGCTTCCGATCGTGTGAAAGCCCATTAGGGAAGAGGCCGGGGTGTAGTCTCAACATTGACCCTGAAGATTTTCACTTAGTTCCCTGCCTTGTGGGGTGATGCTCCCACCACCAGTTGCTGCTGTGATTGCCCAATCTGGAAATTCTTGTTACATAGGCTCTGCACGTCTCTTAGAAACATTTTTTCAATCAATCCTATTTTCAATCCCTCATTTCCATTAGTATTTGTTGTGCCAAATTTCTAAATCTTTTGAGGAGTGTTTTAAAACTGCAGTTTTTACTTTCCCTGTGCTAAATCCTGTCTCATTTTTCCAAATGATCTGTTCTTGGTGTATTTGCCTTCTTGTTTGAAGACCATTTTTACTAGCTCCTGGCTCTCGGGAAGGAATGGAGAGAAACGCCTGGTCAGTCTCATAGACACCGGGGGGGGGGGG